GTATGATAAACCGCAAGACCGAATGTTTCGTTGCCTCGAGTATGAGCATCACACCAGGGTATCTAAATGCTTGTATATCGTGAGTCTGTTAGCTGTTTCTCGATTGGATACATGGCTGCACGGTGAACTGAATCCTTTATTCAACACAATTAACAGTCAGGAAGCTAAAAAAGCACGTTTGAATGTGAACCTGTTGCCAGTGAATTGAAACAAGCCACTTAAGTAACTGTTGCTATGAGCATTTCGAGTACGACAGCAAAAACAGAAAGTAAGCATCGTGGTTGAAAACAATGGCACAATGTCAAATGTGTCGATCAGCACAAAGTCCAAAATATCAAGGTAGCCGAACATGTCGTTACCAACAGCACAAGTGCCCGTTCACGATCAGAATAATTCAGGATTACCAAAGACGGAAGTCAACTGCTTAGAAGGAAAAAAGCTAATTATCAATCTCAACTTAGTGGAAGTGTCGGTATCATAAACTAATAAACAAATGCCAAATGGCAAATAGCTCATTTATTATTGCTTTGCAAAGTCAATCTGTCATGACAAAAGAGAATGAGTACAGACCGGCTATCTGAAGTTATACGACTGTCGAATTTCAGCGTAGTGCGACACGACAATTAAAAGGTTGTTTAAACGGTTAGGCATTAAAAAGTAACTACATATCGCCTTATAAAGAGAGCCCTAAAAAGCAGATCGAACAACAAGGTTGATTTGTTTAAAAAACACCTACCTAGAAAATAAATCTTACTTAGAATGGTCGACAGATTTATGGTGATTTTATTAAAATGACCAATGTTCGCATTAATAACTGCTTTACAATAACATATCTTCATATACAAACAAAGGCTATTTTGAAATAACCACCAGTCAACCGAAAGAGGGTTTAAGAATTCATTGAGCAAGCTGAATGATTCAGGATAAAATATAACAAACATTGACTGTTGCGTCAACAAAATGATCGCGACAACGACCTTACCTGTCAGTGGCGAAGAAATAAGCAGTCTGCGCCAGTTCTCTTGGAGCTAAAAAACCAGCGCTTAAAAAAGTGAAAGATTTAAATACTAAATACTGAAAAATGCATAAAAACGGTTGACTGTGGTTCGCAACTATTCTGGCATCTCGAGCCGAGATGTCCGTTTGGCCCATGCTGCTAGCTAAGTAGTTTTTGGGTCATGAGCATGATAAGGCTCGGTTAAAGAAAGAAACAGGCTGAGCAGACGAATCAAAGAAGATCTAACTATTCAATCATGCAATAATGTCAACTGGGAAAAAGGATACGAAATCTGCGTGGATTGGACAAGCCTAATCGAATCCGTTACCAAAAACTACTTAACAAACAGCATGGACCGAACGCACAACTTTGGTTCCAAACGCCACAACGGCTGAGTACCACACAAACACAACTGCAGAAACCAACCCAGAGAACCCTGAAGAAAGCATGTGAGAGACCAGCCGAAACGTCGGTACTGGTCCTTCACCCGACTGATCATCCTATTCGCATGCGTTGTGTATAAATAAACCGTCTTTAATCACTTTCCGTTTTCATTATAAACACCTATGGACGAACAAATTACTCAATTTAAATAAATTAAATACTTAAATATATTAAAAATATTTTAAACTATACAAAATTATATAAAATAATAAAGAACGTAATAGAATTTTATCCTC